CGAGTGGACGAGCGCGCGCCGTCCCGAGAAGGAGCCGGGAACCACCCGGGATACTCTTGTTAAAGGGGCGATGCTTCGGGGCCGTGGGGCCCACCAGCTGGGAGCCCGGGAGACGAGTTGTGGATGCGGAAAGGCGAACGGGACACCGGGATGCCAGAGGATTGCCGGCTCCTGAGGAACCGAGAAAGGTGGGGACCGGCCCCGGAGGGGACCCAGGCCCGGGACCCGCGCACGTCGCGCTCAGGGGGCGGGGCCTCCAGCTCGGCCCCGCCCAGGAGGCGGCTCGGCCCAGGCCCCGCCCCCAGGCGCGCCGCGCGACCGGCTCCGCCCTCGGCTCCAGTCACCGCCTCGTCTCCGCTTCCCCGTCGGCCCGTCGTTCTAGAACTCGCGGCGCAGCTGCCTCAGGTGCTTGGGCCAACTCCGGTCGCCAGCGGCGCAGGCACAGGGGCGCTCCGTGTCCGCCTGGCCCTCAAGTTCGGCAGTCCTGTCAGCCCGGCCGCCGCCTCCGGCCGGACGACCCCCTCAGGGACTGGAGCTGCCCTCTCAGGCCCACACGGCGCCCGGACCCAGCCTGCCTCAGGCCCTCACTGCCTCTTCAGACCTGAGCCCCCCACCTCAGGGCCAGAGGGATGCCTCAGGCCAGGACCCCCAGTATGGCTGCCGGAAGGTCCAGCCTTCCAGGCAGGCCAGTCCTCCTGCCGAGGGTCCCCTTGGCACCTTCAGGCCTGAGCCATGCCCTGGCCGGCATGGGACCCTGGGCTCCGGGCAGCCTCGTCCAGCCTCTCATACTTAGGTGTCCTCCAAGGCCTCGTTTATCCCCAGGTCAACGTTGAAGATCCCATCTGGCTTCTTCAGCTCCACCCTGCCCTTGGATCTAGGTTACCCACTTTGGCCCCACTAGCTGAGGTCCGAATGCCCCCTTCTGGCCCAGGCAGCCCATTCCAACCCCACCTACCCTGTCAGTCCAACTCTTGTCCCGTCTGCCACCTCAGCCTTCAAAGTTCCTATTCCTATTTTTTACCTCATGTAACTGCTTTCTCAGCCCATTGCTAGTTGGCCTTGGGTAGATACATCACCTCCAACAGTTTCCAATTGTTTTTTTTTTCCTGTTCCCTCTGCTGTCTGCGTGCACTCTTCTATTACATGTTTAGTATTTTTTCAAAGAATTATTTAATTTATTTATTTAATTTGACCAGAGACAGACAGAGATGGAAAGCAAGAAAGTAAGCCCTCAGATCCAGGACTGGAACAATGGACACCCATGTAGGAGTCCAGCACCTCAACCACCATGCCACCTGCCAGTCTGCATGTCTAGTATTCTTTGCTATAGGGTGTGTGTGCTCACCAGAGAGACAGAAAGCCAGAAATCACCCCAAGGGGGGATGGCCATGCTGCAATCCCTTCTCCTCACTCACTTCTCTGGGCCTCAGGGCCAGAGTGAGTCTCAAGCTGCAGGATCTGAGACTTGAACTGCAGTCATCCAACAATGTAACCATTACGATGCCATCTGCTGGTCCCAACATGTGTAGTATTCTTTTTTCTTTCTTCTTTTTTTCTTTTCTTTTTTTTTTTTTTTTTTTTTTTTAGGTTCTTTCCTTTCATGGAGAACAGGGCCAGTCCATGGCATGGTGTTTAGGCAGCTGGATCCCACATGGTCTACACAGAGGTCTACACAGCTGAGTCTGAAAGTGACAGCTTCAGAGAAACATGCTGAGTGATTTCTAGTATTCTTAACTCCCTTTTCTACCCTCCTCAGCAGGCTGTCAGATCATCTCAGACTCACACTAATTCTGGCTCTGTGCAGCTGACCTCAGCTCACCTTCTCACCCGTAGATATTCCCAACTGCTCCCTTCTTTCCTGTCACCAATTGACCACATTTAACTTGCACCAATTACTTATATGATTCTTTACCAATCATCAATTCTGCCACTTCTCTAACTGTCCCCAACCACCAATTCTTTATTAGTTAACCCCCCACACTTCTGCCCAGTCCAGTCTCCACTCATCATCCCATTTAATTTCATCATTGCTTATTACCAGATATATCATTTAACTTTCATCTATAAACTTATGCTGTACATTTAGCTTCAGAAGATTTGCTTTCTCCTTTACCTTTTACCACATTCTGTATGTATCATGTGCAACCTGTATGTATAGTTAATAGTCCAGCACTAAAAATACCTTTTAAGCTCTCTTTCCTTTTTCAGGATCCACAGTCTCTTTCTAATCTCTAGATCTGCTCTGGTCTCATCCTTACAGTCACTGCATGAATGAATGATTCATTTTCCATTATCTTCCTAGTTACCCAGCCCAGTCCAGTCATGCAGGTACAGGAAGATGGAGACAATCTCATTCCCTTTGCCAAGTGAGTACTCCCACTGGATGGGGAGGATGGGGATAGAAGGATGATTATATGCCCACGTCCTTCCCAGAATGGAGTAAGAAGAAAGAAATAGGAAGCCCAATGCCTGATCTCAGGGCATTGGTGATCCACTAATTTATTCAACAATTAGTGACACAGGAGATTCAGCAATTAGCAAGATAAGGATCCTGCTGTCATAAGGCTTACATTCTAGAGAAAAGGGAAACAAATTGTGTAAACAAATAATTGATGAGTCCTATGGAAAAAATAAAACAGCAGTATAATACAATGTCATGAGGGACACAGATTAGAAAGGGTAATTGTGGAAGATATTCTGGGGAGGTGTTCTTTTTTAAAGAATTATTTATTTAATTTTATTTATTCATTCATAATTTACCAGAGAGAGACAGAGAAAGAGAGAGAAAGTGAGAAAGCAAGCCACCAGGTCCAGGACTTGAACCATAGTTGGCCATGTGGGAGTGTCCAGTGCCTTAACCACCATACCATATGCTGGTCTCCAGAGAAGTGAATTTTAATTGAGAGCTAGAAAATGAAAAGAAGCTAGTCTAGATAAGGGGGGTGGAGGGCCTGGCAGGTGACATAGTGGTTAAGGTGCTGGACTTCTACATCGCAGACCATAGTTCGAGTTCCAGACCTTGTGGCTTGCTTTCTCACCTTTCCTCTCTCTCTCTTGTCTTTCTGGTGAGTACATGTACCCTGTAGCAAATTAAAACATAATGACGGGAACCAGCAGTTAGCGTAATGGCTATGTCGCTGGACTCCCACGTAGTCGACCGCGGTTCACGTCCCGGACCCGGTGGCTTAAAACTCACGCCGGGCGTGTGTGCATGCGTGCCCAAGATCCCGAGAGGAGAATGGAGGAGAAGGGATTGCGGCATGACCATCCCCCCTGGGGGTGATTTCTCGCTTTCTGTCTCTATGTCTCTCTCTCTCTGGCGAGCGCACGCGCCCTATAGCAAAAATCTCTCAAAAAAAAAAAAAAAACATAATGATAAATAAAATTGAAAGAAAAAAAAAAGGGGGCCGAGGGCTAGCAAGTGGCATCGTGGTTAAGGTGCTGGACTCCCACATGGCCGACCATTCGAATCCCAGACTTTCTCACTTTCCCTCTCTCTCTGGTCAAATTAAAACATAATCATAATACATAAATTAAATAATTATTTTTTTAAAAAAAGAAAGAGGTGGGGTGGAAGGAGGAGGGCAAGAATAGTAGGAAAAAAATAAAAAGAAAACAAGTCAAGAAGCCTGGTATGTTCTAAGAACATTTCAGTTTTGGGGGCTGGCAGATGGCGTGGTGGTTAAGGGTGCTGGACTCCCACATGGCTGACTGAGGTTCAAGTGCCAGACCTGGCGGTTTGCTCTTGCTCTCCCCGCCCCCAGTCAAATTAATAAATTTGTAAATAAATAAAGTTAAATAAAATAATTTTTAAAAAGAACATTCCAGTTGTAATAGAAACTTAGTGATCAAGGAAAAAATGGAGAGTAAAATCAGGTAGTGGCCAGATCAAATAGAATCATATAAGACATTGAGAAGAGTTTGGATTTTATTCTAAAAGCAGTAGAAATCAGTAAAAGGTTTTAAGCAAGAAGAGATGTCTTTTCTTCAACCTTTATTTATTTACTTTTAAGATTTTTGCCATAAAGCATGTTTACTTGCCAGATAGAGACAGAGAGGGACAAAGAGAGGGAAAATGAGAAATCATCCCCCCCACACTGGAGGGGATGGCCATGCTGCAATCCTTCTCCTGCATTCTCCTCTTGGGATTTTGGGCATGCACTTGCATGTAGCCAGCATAATTTTCAACCCACCAGGTCTAGGACTCGAGCTGTGGTCGACCATGTGGGAGTCCAGCATCTTAACCACTACATCACCTGCTGGCCTCTCTTTAAATGTTTAAACATTGAAAATTTCAAGAAGTAAAGAAAAGAGCATCATAACATATACACTTTGCAATCATCTTCAATGAATCATTATATGGATAATCTCTTCACCTCTACATCCATCTGGCCTTCTCCTTCCAAATTATTTTGATACATCTCAAATATCTTATATCATTTTATATAATTATATTTTAAATTGGTCTTGCTAAGACCAGCAGATGGCATAGGGGTTGTGTCTCAGGACTCCCACATGGCCAACCATGGTTCAAGTCTCAGACCTGGTGTATAAAAAATCACACTAGGCTGGGACCAGCAGGTGGCGTGGTAGTTAAGGTGCTGGACATTCCCACATGGCCAACCACAGTTCGAGTCCTGGATGTGGTAGCTTGCTCTCCCACTTTCCCTCTTCTCTCTGTCTTTCTCTGGTCAAATTTAAATAAATGAATTAATAAAGAAAGAAAAGAAAAGAAAATCACATTAGGCATGTGTCCATGCATGCCCAAGATCCCAGGAGGAGAATAGAGAAGAAGATTATGGTGTGGCCATCCCCCCAGGGATGATTCCTCACTTTCCCTCTGACTGTATCTGTCTGTCTCTCTGGCAAGCGCATGTGCCCTAAGGTAACCTCCCACCCCACCCACCCCCCAAAAAAAGATTAGTCTTGCTGATCTATGCAGAATAGATTTTAGGGGGATCAGAATGGAAGCGCAGAGAGAGGAGGAGGAGATCATTGCAATAGTCCAAGAAGGGGAAGATGGCTTGGAATATGGTGGTAGAGTGGTAGAGTGGAAATGCTGAAGAGTGATCAGATTTGGCTATATTTTAGTTGTAGAACTGATAAGACATGCTGGATTGAATATGGGTGGTAAGAGAAAGTGAGGCATACAGTTTTTTTTACCCTAGTAAGTGATTATTTGGGGCATCATTCAGCAAGAAGACTGAGATGTGTGGAGCCTAGGGCAAACTAGTGTTGGAAATATATAGATTTTGGAGTCATCAGTTTTGTTTTTTTTTTTTTTTTTTTGGGGGGGGGGAAAGGGGCTGGGGGGACCCC